TTAATTTTATGTCTTATAGGATTTATACTGAGTACAATATTGTATAACTGTAATAATTCAACTGTAAACCTAAGAATTTACAGCCAGTTTTGAAAGAGATGCATCTTAGCTCTGGATATTGTTATTGAATATGTCAATGCTGTTGTAATGAAATGCTTCTTCTAAATACGTGGTTATTAAATAATTAAAAAAAAATTAGGGTCTGGAGAGACGACTCAGTGGTCAAGAGCACCCACTGCTCTTCCAGAAGACCCAGGTTCAGTTCCTGGCACCTACATGATGGCTGGTACCCGTCCTTAACCCCATTTCTAAGGGTATCTGATATCATCTTCTGGCCTCTGCAGGTACCAGGCACACACATAGTGCATTTATATACATGCAGGTAAAACACTCATACGTATAAAAATAATTTTTAAAAATTTTAAAAATAAGACTATTTAGGGCTGGAGAGAGATTTCAGTGGTTAGGAACACTGGCTGCTCTTGCAGAGGACCTGGGTTAGATTCCCAGCACCCACATGGTGACGAACAACCATCCCTAACTCCAGTTCCAGGGGATGGGATACCTTCTTCTGACCTCCATGGGCATTGCATGACATGGGTGCACCTACATACATGCAGGCTATACACTCATATACATAAAAATAATAAAAAGATATTTTTAAAAGAAGTAGCAAATAAAGTCTCTCACTGATTTTGGAATTTAATGTGTCCTTTTCCAAGTCAATATTAATGCAATGTGCACACGGCTTTTTCCTGGGGTTTGCTTTTGAGAGCAGCATTCTTTACAAAGGCATTGTTTGGGTGTTAGTCAATGGCCTAGCAGGACCCAGATGGGATTTGGGGGAGAGGAGAGCTAAGAAATATCTAAACCGTTTCTGGCCAGCAGTTCTTTGCCCACTACTGTAAGACAAGGCAGATACCCACGGGCCATGCAAGCCACAGAAGGAAACCTCATGTCTGTGTCTCAGCAGCAAGAATGGAATTGATTGCTTTTTCTGTGTTTTTGAAGAGTTTAGAGAGAAAATGGAGCATATATTTCACACTGAAAAATAGGCGTAGTGGGTGTGGTATTACACTTGGGAGGTAGAAGCAGGATTGTTACGAGTTCCAGACCAGCCTGGGCTATAAAGTGAGCCAGTGTCTTAGAAAATGAAACAAGAGGCTAGAAAGGCGGCTCGACTGGTAACAGAGCACTGGCTGCTCTTGCAGAGGACCTGGGTTTGATTCCCAGCATCCACCTGGTGACTCCAGTTCCAAGGGATCTGATGCTCTCTTCTGGCCTCCACAGGCATCGCATGACATGGATGCACTTACATATATGTAAGCAAAACACTCATACACACATAATAAAAATAAACAACAGCAATATAAACAAAAGCCAGGCATGGTGGTACACACCTTTAATTCCAGGGAGGCAGAGGCAGGAAGATCTCATGAGTTCAAGGCCAGCTTTCCTGGCTTTGCCTTCTCCTTCCTACCTCTGTGTGCTGGGATTACAGATGTGTGCTTCTACACCCATCTTTTATGGATGGATGATGGGGATCCAAACTCAAGTACTCATCCTTGCATAGCAAGCACTTTACCCACCGAGCCATCTCCTGAGCCCCAGAAGTCAAGTTTTTACAGAAGTCCATTAACCTTGTATCAGTTCCTCTCAATGTGTCCTCCAGAGAACTTGGATAGTGTACAGAAGCACACAGGGTAGGCAGAGCTTAAGGTCTGCGTCATCATCTCTCTACGAAGATAGTTCCTCAGTGACAAAGAGTGATGTGAAATCTGCTTCCCAGAGTCAAGTGAGCAAGTCACAGGCTGCATGCTACACAGGTCCCTAGAGGACGCGATGGCATTGCACTGAGGAGGGGACAGTCGTAGGAGTTTCTCTCTTCTCCAGTTGCTCCTGTAATGTTTGAAATTCACGTGGCAATTGTACAGCAAGCATGGTATGCTGCTGATGCTTCTGTAGCCCTGTTAAGCCATCATGGACACTATGCATATGTTCTAATGGAACCTGAGTGCTGCCCCAGGCTGCGGTAACCAATGTGCTCTCTCCTTTCTGTTTTAGGACAATGTATTAAACATCATCAACCAGATCATGGATGAGTGCATCCCTCAGGACCGTGCCTCTCGGGATTTCTGTGTCAAGTTCCCCGAGGAGATCCGGCATGACAATCTGGCTGGCCAGCTGTGGTTTGGGGCTGAGGTAGTGGGCAGCTGCTGGGTTCTGGGTCCTAATGTTGAACAGCCTTTTGCTAGCCATGTCCCTGTTTACAGGTACCTACAGATGCGGAGGCCTAGTATCTCCTCCAAGGATCCTGCACACCCTGTTTACAGATGGTGTGGTCTTGGCTTCTTTGGTCACCAGCTCCTTGCAGCATCAAGGAGAGAGCTGTGACCTTGTGCTGCCTCCCTGCCCCCCACTGCATGGACAGAGTTTATTAGGATACTCTCAGGCCCCCAAGCATCCAGGATCCTGTCCCTACTCTTAGTGACCGGAACACCCCTGACCTACTGCAGTAGTGATGACAGGGCATGCCCTTGTGTGGTGGCAGGACCAGTGTCCCCCAGCCTGGGGGCCTCCTGTCCCCCTAAGATGGAACCTCAGCCCCTGCCTTGGCTGTGTTCTTTAGGTGTTGGAGATGCAAGGCCCTCTGATTGGATGTAGGCTGATCTGTCACTACTCTGAGCTGTGCTGTCCTCATCTTCCCTGACACCACCCCCTTGTAACCCTGGATCTTACCTGCCTCATGCCCCACTTAACCCCATTCTTCCTTCCACCCACCTCGTTCTGCCCCACACCATTGCTCTGAGCATCTGGCTGGGGTCCTCCCTGATTCCTGGGGTCTTGGTGGTCCCAGCAGGTTGCTCTCTCCCAGCCTCAGTGTTCACTCTGGGGTGTGGCTCAGGCCAGAGGCTGTGGTGAGAAGCCATGAAGGGAGGCAGGGGCAGGGCCAGCTCCACCTGCTGGACTGGGGCATGTTCCCCTCCAGGCATAGGCTGGGAAAGCAAGGGCCCCTCCTCCAGCTTCCCAGGAAACTGCTTCTTGCTCTGATTGATGATGATGAGATTTGACTGGTGGCTTGATTCTGCCCTAGACTGGTGAAGGCCAGCTGGTAGATGGAGCATCCACACAGGAAGAGGCTGGCTGTGCCCCTTTGGTCCCCACCTTGAGAGAAGTAGGCAAATCCTGTGTCACTGAATACAGTCTGGCATCAGTGGTAGATGTGGGGGATTTGTGGGTGCAGGGGGATCTCCTCATGAGCTAGGAGTAGGATGTCTCCTAAGTTGATGAGTCTGGATTCCAGTGAAGATCAGGTTCCTCTGAGCCTTGTATGTATGTGTGCAAGAGGTGTCTGTGACCTCCCACAAAGGTCCTGTCCCCCTGTTCTGTTGCACCAGGATGAATGTGACCTCTAGATGCTCCTGGCTCCCAACAGTCACCCTGGAATGGGAGACAACAGGAGTCATATCCCTGGACTCCCCCTGGGCACTGAGGCCTTGGGTGCATAGGGTCAGGCTCCCTGGGGACAAGTAACCTTCGAGAGCTCCAGTCTGTTCCAAGCATGCTCTCCTGCCCACAGTGCCTGGCCGCTGGCTCCATCATCATGAACCGAGAACTCGAAAGCATGGCTATGCGGCCACTGGCCAAGGAACTGACCCGCAGCCTGGAGGATGTGCGGAGCACACTCCGTGACCAGGCGCTACGGGACCTCAACACCTACACGGAGAAGATGCGGGAGGCACTGAGGCATTTTGACATCCTGTTTGCTGAGTTCGAATTGAGGTGACCTTGAGGGCCCCAAGCATGTGCCTTAGACATTGGGAATCACAGACTTCACCCGTGAGTCTGGGGTGCCAGCTTTTTGGAGGCACATCTTGATGATTCCATGTAGAAAATTATGAAGAAGGAGTTGGCCCCTGGGGAGCTCCGTGGGTGAGGGTTTTCTCAGGAGGAATGAGAGCAGATGGCACAGGGTCCTCACAGGCCCTGGAGGACAGGACTCAGACACCTAAGGGGAAGCACACTGTGCTCTGTGCACCAACATGGTGAAGCTCGTGGTGGGGAGGAAAGGCAGGCCAGGAAACCCATGCCTTCGAGGTCTCTGCTAGTAAAAGATGCATCTTGGGATGGCATGGCTGACTGTTAGAAGGAATTCAGCAGGCTGGTAAGACTTCTCTCAGAAGTCAGAGTTCACATTATTGTCATTTCCTTCTGTCTTCCTGGATTTTCTAAAGAAGCGTTCATGACAAGAAAAAAATTAGACTTGGCAGTTTAGAAGGATTAGAACATTCTCACCTGGGAATGGTGGGCAAACCATCAGCATCTCTCAGTCACTCAGCAAAGACCCTTCAAGGCCTGTGTCCTGCTGGGGTCACTCCTGAGCTGCCGAGATCCACGGGGCCTGACCTGGTACTTTGTGGGGTTTGCAGGCACACCCCTTGCATTCATTCACACTCATTCATTGCTTCGTCACAGCCGGGGCTGAAGTGGGAGCAGTCACTTAAATGGCTGTGCTGGTTTCAGGGAATCAGGGCTGACCCCGGCAGGGCTATGGGCCTGGGAAGGTGCCAGGTGAGGCCAGTGCCAGCAGGAGCTCTGATGCAGGGTATCTGGTAAAGCTGGGAGCTGTGTATTTATGAAACAGATGACACGGTGTCAAGGGTTGCGGTTTTAAAGCCACTGTTTGGGAGCCTGATGACCTCACTGTGTCTGCAGCTACGTCTCGGCCATGGTGCCTGTGAAGTCCCCCAGGGAGTACTACGTGCAGCAGGATGTCATTGTGCTGTTCTGCGAGACCGTGGAAAGGTAAGGACAAGCTGCCCAGGGTGGCATCTTGTCTGGGACACCCAGGTGGGAGCACAGCAGCCTCCCCTCCCCCTCACTCACCTACTGGTGGGCAGAAGGCAGAGTCCTTACTCACTTGCACCCAGGTTCCCTCTGTTCCCATAGGGTAGGCACCACCAGTAGAGGCCTATGAGCTGGAAGGTGGCCACTGTCCAGACCTCCACCCTGGTCCCCTTGTCCCCTCACTCCTGCTGCTCTTACCTCTCTGCCTCCTCATCCTCATCGCCCACCTCCCTACTTCTGCGGCTCCTCGCTTTGTGGGCCCCTGAGGGCTCAGGCCTGCCCACCATGGTTCTGTGGATGGATCATTGCTGCTTCTGTTAGGCCTTGATCTGATTCAGTCAGATTCTCGAAATAGACTCTGGGGCCAAGATTCACCTCAGAGTGTTGACTGTGGTGTTAGTTTGGAAACTGACTCAATCACACCATAAGTTGTTTTTTTTTTGTTGTTGTTGTTTTCCAGAAAAATACCACTAATATACCAGGGTATTGATTATCCTAAGAGAAATTGGCTACAGAGTCAGAGTACAGTCCTTGAGGGTCCCCTTTCAGATGCTGTGTTGAGGTAAGTGGGGTTGCTAAGAATACCAGGAAAGAGTCACATGGTGGACTGGTGCAATATCTATTTACCAGCCATTAGGATATGTAATTACCCATATTCCAAAAAAAAACTAAAACAAGCAATTTGGGGGGGACTTTTTTTTTTTGAGACAGGGTCTCCCTGCAGCCCCAGCTGTCCTGGAATTCACTATGGAGACCAGGCTGGCCTCGAACTCACAAAGATCCATCTGCCTCTGCCTCCCGAGTGCTGGGATTAAAGGCGTGTGCCACCACACCCGGCCTAAGTTGGTTATTTTAAAAGGCAGGTCATTCATTGTTTACGCTTTGAGAGGTGTTCCAACCTTCCAGAAAACAAACGGACAGAAAACCCTGTCAGTGTGAAGTCCTGATGGCAGCAGTGCCTGCTCAGGTCTTGCTGGGAAGGCCACCTGCTCACGGGGAGGGGAGCTGGCCCCTAGTCTCTAGAAAGTGCTAGGTCTGGGGATATTCTTGCCCCACAAGTGCTTGGCACTTGTGGTCAAGCTAAGCAGAGGTGATGACGGGCACCCACAGAACCACAGGTATGTTCACACATGTTGCTTTCCATCCTTCCCTGGGACAGAGGTGGAGCAGAAGAGATGGAAGCTGTAGCTTTGCCCTCTCTTCTGGGGCCTCGAGCAGAGTGTGGCCCTGGCCTCCAGCTTTGCCTTCTCTGTGTGGGATGGCTGCCGTGGCACAGGTCACCCTCCCCACCCATCCTCTGAGCACTGGACACAGGCAAGGTTGGGCACGCGTCACTCCCTCGCACTTGGGGCTTGCCTGTGGGTGCCCTCTCAGTTTCCTCTCCCTCTGCCAGGGCCTTGGACTTCGGGTATCTGACCCAGGACATGATTGATGACTATGAGCCTGCCCTCATGTTCACCATCCCACGGCTGGCCATTGTGTGGTGAGTGCCCTCTGCTTCCTGGGTGTTGGTGACTCTCCTCACACCCTGTGGACTCTGCTCTCATTACCCCCACCAGTGTAGTCCCTAGGCTGGCCTACTGTTTTCCCTCATTGGGTAGGAAGGGAACTCCTACCACAGAGAGGGTGACACAGTGAACCATAACCTGGTGCTGGATAGGTGAGGTGGAAAACAGCTTGCTATTCATAGGTACTCAGTGCTGGGGAGATGAACACCATGTATCATGCAGGGCCTCTTGGGTGCAGAGTAACCATACAGGACTGTTAGAGGCAGGATGAGGCCCAGGTTCCCACCATGGTCGGTTTGAGTGAGTACTTTCTGACCGGCAGGGAAACCGAGCCCGTTAGGCTCAGGTGAACTGCAACCTAGCTAGCTGACTACCCCTGTCCTGCTGGAAAGGTGGGATAGATCTGTGGAGAACAAGGAGCTCAACAGGTCAGCCTTTGGAGCCTTGTGGGGTCCAAGGTGTCAAGGTAACACTGGGTTTTAGGGCCTTAAGTATCCTAAGGGTGATGTGCTCAGTCACTTGGGCACTTCTGAACTTTTGGGGCCAAAGGCAGAGCCCAGGTGCTGGGGGGCTTGTACCAGCAATCAAGTCTGCAACATTAGTGATGTGGCTAGAGGAAAGAGGAGGGCCCCTGGGTGACCTGCAGCAAAGACACATAGCAGCATCTGAGGACAGAGCTCCCTGTGGAAAGTTGGGGTGCACAGTGGGAGATGGGGGTGGAGATAGTGCACTGAGACAGCCAGTGTCCTGAGCCTGCACTTCCCTCCACTGCTCCACTGCACAGGCACATACCATGGCATATGTTGGTAGGGGCAGGGGGAGGCGCTGCTGCAAATGCAGACCCGTCCTGCAGGGTCACTGACTTGAGTGTCGTAGGTGTCCTTAGGGGAGGTCTTCAGGGTAGTCTTTGGATGCTGGTTGGTATTTCCCTCTAATGACTTGACATCCCTGCCCCCCTCCCTCACATCCCTGGCCCCCTCTCTCATATCGTCTCTTTCCTCACGGAGATCTCCTTCAGTACACTCAAAGAAGCAGGGCTGAAGTGCATCACCAGGGATAGCATAACACAGCCTTAATCATCAGAACTTGGTATGTCTTGTCATCTGAAGCTGTTGAGCTGAGGGACTAGACATCCTTGATGGCCAGTGTAAAGTGGGCTGGATGACTGACCCCAGCAGGAGCTGTGGCCCTGCACTGGCTCACAGGCATCTCTGTGGCTCATTAAGAGAAAGTAGTGTACTTGTTTAGTTTTTACCTTTTGTCTTTGTCTAAAAAACAAAACTGATGCTGGGCATGGTGGCACATGTCTTTAACCCCAGCACTCAGGAGGTAGAGGCAGGCAGATCTCTGTGATTTCAAGTCCAGCATGGTCTACATAGTGCCAGGCCAGGCCAGCTAAGGCTACAGGGAGACCCTGTCTCAAAAAGACCAAAAAAAAGAATAGGCATTGACCTTTCACTGTGTTGGGCACTGTGTCTCTGAGGATGGACGCTGCAACACAGAAAACCTTGGCCATCTTCTTAACAGACACCGGGAAGTGTCTTTGATGTGCAGCCCCCAGCGTTCGCCCACAACCCAGGAGAACACACTGATGACATCCAAGGGCTAGCTCCCCCGTGGATAGCTCTGCAGAGCCATCTGCCATCCTGGGCTGTGCATGGCTATAGATGGCTGCTTGCCCTTCCTGCTCTGCCTGCTGCTCTCCTGACTGAGCACAAGTGGGGTTGGGAGGAGCCTATTCAGAAGCCCCTGAAGCCTGTCTCAGGTGACACACCAGTTTTAAGATAAGCAGAGTTGTGAGACAGCTCCGGTGCTGTTCCAGACTTCATTCTGGAGTCTTTTCTCCCCCTTGTTTGTTTGTTGGCTGATTGAGACAAGGTTTCCTGTAGCCCAGGCTGGCCTTGAACTCATTAAGCAGCCAAGCATAACCTGGAACTTCTGATCTTTCTGCTTCTACCTGCTGAGTGCTGGAATTGCAGGCGTACCGCCACTGTGCCTGGTTTTATTCTGGAGTCTGTTATCCATGTCTGTTGAGCATTTTATCAGCAACCTGTCACTCATCAGTATCTGGACACATGTGGCTGAGGAACAGTGGCCATGTCTCCCTGACTAGTGTCATTGCTGCCCTGTGGCTGACGTCAGAATCCATACTGGACCAGTAGCCCATCAGATCATTAGTCCTAGGGGTGGAGTGAGACTGCTGTGGTGCTGTGGTGGGGCCCCTCCTAGAGATGCTGGCATGAAGATCCCCTTCATCAGGGTTGAAGGAGGGCCTGGAAAGAAGCTGAGAGGATTAAGGGGGTCCCCAAGAGATAGAGACAGAAGGAGAACCAGGAGCCTAGAGCATGGTGGGGGGGGGGCTGGCTTATGGTCTACCCCTCAGAACCAGGCCTCTAACCTCAGAGCCAGATATAGCTCTGAACAATTGCGAGATGCACTGGTTCTAGTGGAAACTTCCAGAGCTGTGTGAGCTTCAGCGCTCTAGGTGCTCACTAGGTACTTACAGGATGTGAGCCCAGTACTCTCTTGTTTCTCATGGTCCACAGGGCCCAGCCTCAACTGGCCGGAATAGAGGCCACAGCTGCTCAAGAGGCAGCCCAGGAGTGCCCCTTCCTGTAGCACATGATGAGCATGTACTGCGTGGCTGCTGTGTGCCTAGCTCACCCTCATCCCGGGGATCCTGAAGTGACTGTAAAGGAGAGGACAAGGCCTGGAGAGCGGTTTGCATTAGGTTCAGACTGTACAAACTGTCTTTTATGTTTTGGGCATTTAAACCACTTAAAATAGTTTCTTGAAAGAATAAAGATCCAGTAGTCACTTGCCAGCCCCTCATCTGGTTGGCCAACATGAACCTGGGTCACTGTCGCCAGCCAGCTCAGGGTCCTACTAGCCCAAACCTGATTCACCTAGGCCACATTTGCATCAGTTATTCCCGCCACAAGGCCTGTACACACTGACTGCAGCTCCTGCAGCTGGCTCCACCTGAGTGAACCCAGCCCTATGTGCCACCTACTCCTGGCCTGGTCCCCTTGCCAAAGCAATGGCCCCTCCCCTTAGCCTGGGGCATCAGTGGTCCTGGACCTTTTCTAACAAACGGCAGCACTGCACTTACCCAGCCCCTGAGGACACTCTACCCCCTGGATAACAGACCTGCCCACACCCATAGGCTGCCTCTGCCTGGCTTCTGCCCCACCGTCCCCTCACTGTACACCCACCTTCTCCCCAGTTCTGCCTTCTGTGCTCCTCAGCTCCTCGGCGGCAGGCTCACATGATGGGCACACATGATGGGATTCAACATTCCACAAATAGAACTCCCCACCTTGTGCATCAAGTGTTCAGATCCATTTTTACCACAGCAAGACCTGTACACTAATTTCAGAATATTTTCATCAGCCCACAAGCACCCCACACTCCTTGTCCTTCCTGGCCACCTCTACCCCTTCATTCACATGTATCCTTAGATGTCTGTGCACACACACACGCACACACACACACACACACACACACACACACACACACACTCAGGCACACACCCTCCAGTATGTTTTCTGCTTCTGGTTTGTGGGTCCCACAGTTGTATAAATGGGGTTTGTGTTGTGGTTGTGTCTTCCTGTGTCCTGTCAACACAGGAGGGCAGGCTCACCTCTTGCTCTCACTGAAGTCCCTAGTGCCCCCTATGGTAGGGGCACAGTGGGCTTTTGTGGGATTTTTTAGCATTGATCCGACAGGGCTCAGATGTGCATTTATCTAGATTACCCCTCAAGTTCCACCTGTAATCAAAACAATTTGAGTATCAAAAACTAAGGTGTTGCTTAAAAACAGTACACCAAGCCCCATGTGGTGGTGCACACCTTTAATCCCAGCACTTGGGAGGCAGAGGCAGTTGGATCTCTGTGAGTTTGAGGCCAGCCTAGTCTACATGTTGAGTTCTAGGCCATCCTGGGGTACATAGTCTCCAATACCCTGTCTCAAATAAATACATACATACCTATTTCTAAAGTAATGGAGAAAATCCCAGTGTCATTTGAACAGTACAAAGTCATCACCAAATGCTGTCTCTACAAAATGTTTTTTTTTTTTTAATTGTTTTTTTTTAGAGCAGAGTCTCATGATTACCAGGCTGGCTGCTTGCTACATAGCCAAGCATGACCTCGAGCTTCCTACATGAGGGAATTATAGACACCTATCACCATGCCTGGTTTGTGCAGGATTGGGGATAGAACCCAGGACTTCATGAATGCTAGGCAAGCTCTCCACCTACTGTAAAGTTTCTTTTTAAACATTTATTTATTGGCTGGGCGTGGCAGCGCATGCCTTTAATCCCAGTACTTGGGAGGAAGACGCAGGCAGATCTCTGTGAGTTCGAAGCCAGCCTGGTCTCCATAGTGAATCCAGGACAGCTGGGGCTACAGGGAGACCCTGTCTCAAAAAGACCAAAAAAAATTTATTTATATGCGTGAGTATTTTGCCTGCATGTATATACTGTATTTGTGCATGCAGTACCCAAGGAGGTCAGAAGAGGCTGTCAGATCCCCTGGAGCTGAAGTTAAGGACAATTGTTAGCCACCATGTGGGTGCTGGGAACCGAATCCTGGTCCTCTGCAAGAGCAGCCAGCACTCTTAACTGCTGAGCCATCTCCAGCCCTTCTGTAAAGCTTGTATAGACAGAAAACAAAGAAATAATGTTTTTATTATGGCGGTAAAATGTACATAAAATAACACCATTTTAGCCCTTTAAATTTGTTATTGTATTTGTGTGTGTGTGTCTGTGTGTGTGTGTCTGTGTCTGTGTGTGTGTGTGTGTGTGTGTGTCCGTGTGTGTGTGTGTGTCCGTGTGTGTGTGTGCCACAGTGCATGTGTACACGTGTGGAGATCAGAGGAAAACTTTTTTTTTTAGCAGTTGAACTGTTTATTTATTTATTTAAATTTTTACAAAAACTTTATTGAGAATTTCATACATGTATATAAGGTGTTTTGATCAAATCCATGCCCACTTCCTCCCCTCCAACATACCCCCCCTCTGAAGAGGTAACCTTAAAATCTTTTAAGGATTAGATACAAGCTCCCAAATACTTCTGACATTTTGAAATTTTTAGCCTTTGGAACAGTGTGTTGCTAACAGGCCCAAGGACACTTTGAATTTTAGCCAAGAAACTGTCTCCGTGTGTGTGTGTCTGTGTGTGTGTCTGTGTGTGTGTGTGTCTGTATGTGTCTGTGTGTGTGTGTCCGTGTGTGTCCGTGTGTGTGTATGTGTGTGTGTGTGTGTGTGTGTGTGTGTGTGTACATGTTGGGGGGGTCCGAGGACAACTTTCAGGATTCAGTTCTCTCTCCACTATGTGGGTCCTGGGGATTGAACTCAGGTTGTCAAGCATACCAGCAAGCACCTTCACCTGCTGAATCATCTGGCCGGTCCCATTCCAACCCGTTCTGAGTGAAGACCTCACTGTCATTTACTCTGTCCCCTCTATCCTAAACTCAGCTCTGTCCGGGTGAAGGGCCTCCATCGCCCCCTTTCTCTCTCTGGGGATTTGACGAGTCTGTGGCGTTCCAGGTGGAGCCCCCCCATCATCCTGTGACTGGCTCATTTCACTCAGCAGGTTGTAGCATGTGTCAGAATTTCTTCCCCCTTTAAGCTACTATCCAATTGTATGTCATTAAATGTTATTTTAAATATGAGGGCTTTTTGTTCAGTGCTGGGGTTCAAACCCTTGTCCCTGAGCATCTTGGCAGGTGCTGTGCCTCTGGCTATACCTTCAGCTCCAAGTATGAGATTTTTATAAAAAAAGATTCAAAAGAATAAAATCCTAATAATGAATCTAACCAAGGAGCTCAAACACATGACCACTGAGGACTGCAGAGCACTGCTGAAAGAGAAAAGAAGGAAAGTCCCCTGAAAGAGAACAGCATCCCCTGTTCACGGCCGGGTGGTTCACACGAGGGGCTCGCCAGAGCGGTCTTTGGATCCAGTGCAGTCCCAGCAGCTCCCCTCTTTCCCCTTTCATGGCAGAAATGGAAAAGCTGTTCTGTAAATTCATACGGGCTCTGCGAAGAAAAGCAGTTCCAAAAAAGAAAAAAATGGGGGCGGCTCACAGGCAACTTACTATGAATTAAACCGTGGCTCTGGTGGCTTAGGTCAAAGACAAGTGAGAGGGAACCCAGAGCTCAGAAAGAAACCCCAACATCTTTGGCCACGGATCTCTAACCAGGATGCAGAGCATCTGAGGAGGAAGGTTCTCTTCAGTGAATACTTCTGGGACATGACTATCATATGTTGCACCCTGTGACAGATAATTCTACATTTCAGCATGGCCTCTGTACCCAGGTATTTGTCAAATCCAAGTCTGGATGTTGCTGTGAAAGCGTTTTAAAGATGAGTTAGCATTTAAGTAAGTTTTGAGTACAGCAGTTTGCCCTCTATATTGAGGTGGGCCTAATATAATCAATTGAATGCCACAGGAGAAAACAGGCTGAGATCTCCCAAGTGAGAGGGAATTCTGCCTCCTCCCACAGTGCCCACCTTCCCTGTGTCTCCAGCCTACTTACCACCTGCCCTGTTCAGTTTGAATTTACCATGGTCTCCAATCTTGTGAACCAGCTCATTCAGCCTCTCTCCTCTCTCTCCATCTGTTCACGCCCCCCCATACCTCTTTACCACCTTCACTCTGTCCTTCATGTTCTCAAATTTGACCTCATGTACCTAGGACACAGTCCCCATCACTACCTGCTCCTACTCAGTGTGAGCTCACCACTCAACAGGGCCACCCAGCCCAGCACAGTGCCATGACCTGTGAATCTTGTTTTGCAAACTTTTAAAGAGAAAAACAGGGCTGGAGCCATGGCTCAGTGGTTAAGAGCACTGGCTGCTCTTGCCGAGGACCTGGGTTTGGTTCCCATCACCCACATGGTAGCTAACAACTGTCTATAACTCCAGTTCCTGGGGATCTATTGCCCTCTTCTGGTTAATGCAGGCATTGCATGCACATGGTGTACATAATTATATACATGAAGACAAAACACTCTTGCACATAAAATATAAATAAATATTGAATTTAAAGGGAAAAACAGTCCCTTCAGTTCTGTTTATCAATTTTCCTTACCAAACTAGATAATGTTGAAGAAGACTGTTCCCAAACTGACAGGGACTCTGTGTGGGATGGTGACACCTGCACTCCTGCTGGCCAGGAGACCCTATCACAGCTGCTGACAAGTAGGGCTCTCGATGGAGAAAGCCCAAGGGGCCCTCATCTGTGCTCTGATGAGGAAGCAGAGGGACAGGTGGATACTCTGTGGGCTCAAGAGACATGCCAAACCTGAGCTGTCTGGTCCCCAGAGACATGGAAGGAGACACCAGATGAGGAAAGCTTTCTGAAAGAGAGATGGATTGGGGTTGGCTGAGGGAGGTGCTGCCAGAGCTGAGCAACAGGCAGTGGGGTTCCCAGGATTGGCAAATGGGGAGTGGCTGTCAGGAAGATGAGATGATTAAATTAGGGCTGCTCAGAGGTGGCACCCGAGCAGAGTTGGCCTTCAGCAGGTGTTGGGCCGGGTGCTGGTATTAGGAGGGGACAGTGAGGAAAGCCTCAGCCTAGGGGAAGAGGCACCTGGGAGAGGGTTGGTCCTATTTAGAGGTTGGCAGGAGGCTCCTTCCTATCCTTAGGGGTACAGGAGATCCATGTGGGAGCTCCGTTTTCTACCTGTACTTGGCTTTCAAAGTGATGAGTTTCCACAACTCCAGTTTTTCCTTTTTCAGGAGGTAGATTTTAGTAATGAGTCTTGATATAATTGCAGCATCGATGTGATCAAATGTATTCTATGGTTGTTGTCATCCCTGCTATGAACCGAGCCAACAGCTTGATGGTAAAGGCCTTTTTCTTAACTCATTTAGGATCCAGTCACAGGAGGCAAAAGGTGAGGCTATAACTTGGCTGAGTGGGGTCTCTGTGGGTCCCAGTGGGTTGCCAGTATTTTTGCAGATGTTGAAGCTGGGGTTATTGGGCTCACCCAGAGACTCACAGAGCCTAACCATACTGGCGTCTGTGTCTTGAATGCAGTGGCCTTGTGGTTTATGCAGACGGACCCCTAAACTTGGACCGTAAGGTGGAGGACATGTCTGAACTGTTCCGGCCCTTCCACACGTTGCTGCGGAAAATAAGGTAAGGACTGGGAGGCAGGTACTAAAGTCAAGTGCTTATCCCCCTCTGAGTTGTGAGAACTGGGAAGGAGGTACAGAAATCAAGTGCTCAGCCTCCTATGAGTCTTCCTGGCTGGTCACTATTCCTCCTGTTGGAATAGGAGCCCATGGTGGCCCAAGCCAGTCTTCTGGTGGTTGGCAGCTCTTGCATGCCAAGCTTTAGGGAGTAGTAAGCTTCATGTTGCCCAGCCTTGGGTGTACACACGGCTCACTGTTCCCAGTTCACTGAAGACCTGAAGTTTCCTTCAGGAAGCTGGTGCTTGCGGGCAAGTCTTGGTTTGTTAGGCTTGTGTGGATGCTTTGGAGCCCTTTTACTTCACCACACTTTTTAAAAAAAATATTTTATTTATTATATTTATTTTACATGTGTGAGTGTATTGCCTGCATGTATGTGAGTACACCCATGTCGTGCAATGCCGTGGAGGTCAGAAGAGGGCCTTGGATTCCCCTAGAACTGGAGTTAAGGATGATTCGTAGCCGCCATGTGGGTGCTGGGAATCGAACCCGGGTCCTCTGCAAGAGCAGTCAGTGCTCTTAACCGCTGAGCCACCTCTCCAGCCCCAACTTCTCCACACTTTTGTGCTGTTGGAGTGAGCTCTCTGCCCAGTGGTTCTGTGGGATGGGCTGCTTACATGCCGATGGCCATCAGGAGGACTAGAGACAGCATGGAGGCCATAGCCACTTGTTCCCCAAGTTCCTCTTTGGTATTTCTCCCGGTGGCTCCTGGTAGTGAAGCTGATGGCTCTGAACCTCCACAGAGCCAGTTTTCCTCTTTCGAGGAGGTAGTTTTTAGTAAAGGGTCCTTATAGCACTCTCCTTGGGTCTGGATATCCAGAGGCCTCCTCAGACCTGCCTCACCACAGGATGGTCTTGGGCATAGCCATCGATGCCAGAGTTTTCTTTGGGGGATGCACAGAACATGGAACTCTGCCCCTCAAAGGGTACTGTGACTCCAGACACAAGAAGCAACCCCTGGGGGCTTTTGCTGTGGGCAACCTTGTGGTCTTGGGGCCTTGGGGAGTCAGTAGGCTGGAAGCAGGGTCTTGGTCTAGTTTACAGTTCAGATTGTTTTGTAGTTGGCTGTTGGCTGTTTTTCTCACACTCTGGTGGAATGTGACCCCCTAGACCTAGAAGCTGAGGCCCTGCCCTCCTTGGCTTCGGGACAAGGGTTGACAGCATAAATGAGAAGTCACAGACAAGGCTAGGCCAGAAAGGAAAATGGGGGATGGAGGTCCCTGTAGGATGGACAGGGTAGGGGCTGGGGACAAGGACAGTGAGAGCTCTGTGGGGTCAGAAGAGAGCCTAAGCTTAAGACACATCGTGTGGTCCATGTGCAAATGAAATGGGAGGGTCTGATGTTCACCCACAGCTTCAGACATTGAAGCCTTCCTCCATCAAAGGATTGGGTGTCAACACAGGAAAGAAAAGCCAGAGCACTGTAGCTACATCTACATAGGGAGACAAAACACAAACTTGGCATCCGCTGCAAAGTGATTGAGCAAGGGAAAGATTTGTGAGTGCATATATTAATGGATGTATCTATAGGCAGACATGACTGGCCATCTGCACTTTTTTTTCCTGTTGGGTAAGACTTCTTTCTACCTTAAGGCAGTTTGCCTCAGATTACATCAGAACAATTCTCTAACCTCAACGATAGAAAGAAATGGATACATTAGAAAAATTGTATGTGTAAAGACCACTGTCCTCACTGTGGCAGTGCGGACAGGATGAACCACAACTCTGGGGAAGGGTAAGCCTTTCTGGAGAGGAGGTAAGGTAGCTGTCTTGCCTGGCTCTTCTCCCCAGGAAGTATCTGACAGTTGCAGGAAAGTGTTTCCTTGCCCAAGGTTCAGACTGGGGGAAGAGAACGTAGGTGCGGGGCTGGTGGTGCGTGTCAGCCCTGGGTAGCCGTGCGGCACACCTGCTGTTCAGACTGGGGGAAGAGAACGTAGGTGCGGGGCTGGTGGTGCGTGTCAGCCCTGGGTAGCCGTGTGGCACACCTGCTGTTCAGACTGGGGGAAGAGAACGTAGGTGCGGGGCTGGTGGTGCGTGTCAGCCCTGGGTAGCCGTGTGGCACACCTGCTGTTCAGACTGGGGGAAGAGAACGTAGGTGCGGGGCTGGTGGTGCGTGTCAGCCCTGGGTAGCCGTGCGGCACACCTGCTGTTCAGACTGGGGGAAGAGAACGTAGGTGCGGGGCTGGTGGTGCGTGTCAGCCCTGGGTAGCCGTGCGGCACACCTGCTGTTCTGCTGCAGGGGAGGTCTATACCACAGGGGCAGTAGGAGGTCCCTGCAGGCCTCAGGTTCACTGCCAGCCTTGCCTGGAGACCTTTGCCCGATTTTGAAAGTACATGAGATGGAGAGTTGGAGGCTGAGCTGGGTCTCTGAAGACTTTGGATTCGGAGGCCCACCAACCTCCGATTGGAGCAGCCACTTGACTCCAGCCTGCTGGGTGTCTGAATGCAGTATCGTAATGGATCCTCACACCAGCTGCCTGGCTGAGGGAAGTCCTCTCATCACAAGACAACACCACTTCTAGGGTGTTTTATATTTGATGTGCATCGTGTAATTCCAAACTGTTGAAAAATGTGAAGAGGCAAGAAAATATGATAGTCAAGAGAAGAGCCAGAAAAGCACGTGGCCATGTGCTAGAGCAAACACAGTACCATTACTGCACTGTAGAACATACCTTAAGGGGGTCAGAGAAGAGGACAGAGAATTTACAGATTTGGACTCTATTAAAAATGACGTTCCAGGGCTAAGAGAGTTCATGGCGTGAAAATAAGGACATGACGGATGGGCTGGGCAGCAGGTTGGACCCAGCAGAATGTGGTGGTAATGAGCTTGTGGATGGATGGGTCAGTGGGCAGAAGGACAGAGAGGCAAAGGGCAAGGGAACATACAGGTGGACAACAGTGTGAACAATGTGGGCTGCATCAGAATGCAGTGAGATGACTTGTGTAACGTCAGAAGGCCAGCATGTGCGGTGAAATGACATGTGCGGTGTCAGAAGGCCAGCATGTGCGGTGAAATGACATATGCGGTGTCAGAATGCCGGCACGTGTGGTGAAATGACGTGTGCGGTGTCAGAATGCCGGCACGTGTGGTGAAATGACGTGTGCGGTGTCAGAATGACGGCACGTATGGTGAAATGACGTGTGCGGTGTCAGAATGCCGGCACGTGCAGTTGGAACCCCAGACAGGGAGAAGGGGCGGGAGCACCATTCAGAGAAGTGGCCAAGGAGTCCCCAAACTGATGAGGAATCTACCCATGGGTTCAGGAGGCTCAAGAAAACCACAAGTGAGTTAAACACAAAACATGCCTGGGTATGTCACAGTAAAATCATAAAAATGGGGCTGGAGAGATGGCTCAGTGGTTAGGAGCACCGGCTGCTCTTCCAGAGGACTGGGGTCCAATTCCCAGGACCCACATGGCAGCTAACAACCACTTGTAACTCCAGTTCCAAGGGATCTGACACCCTCTTCGGGCCTCTTCAGGCTTTGCACAACATGGGTGCATGCATTTATATGCATGCAGGCAAAACATTCATACACATAAAAATATCGGGGCTGAGACGGGCGTAGTGGTGCACGCCTTTAATCCCAGTACTCGGGAGGCAGAGACAGGCGGATCTCTGTGAGTTCAAGGCCAGCCTGGTCTACACAGGCTGGTGAGTTCCAGGATAGCTGGGGCTATAGGGAGACCCTGTCTCAAAAAGACCAAAAAAAAAAAAAAGAAAAGAAAAAAAGTTTTCAAGAAAGTAAATAAATAAATAAATAAATAAATAAATAAATAAATAAATAAATATTGGGGCTGGAGAGATGGCGCATTGGTTAAGAACACTGGTTGTTCTTGCAGAAGAACCCAGGTTCAAATCCCAGCACCCACATGGCAGCTAACAACTGTCCGTAACTCCAGTTCCAGGGGATCCAACAGTCTCTCCTGTTGTCCTTGGGCATTGCATGACACGGGTGCACTTACCTCCACGCAGTCAATACATGCATACACATAAAATAAAAACAATAAATAAAATATTTTTAAAAATATATAAATAAATTACCAAAAACAAAAATCCAAAGAGCAGCGAGCGTAAAAGGACATACTACTTTAAAAGAGCATAAAATAACTCCCTGCCCCTACGCCCCCAAAAGCTGGACATTGATTGGTGGTACTACCTGAAATTCCAGCATTTGGGTTCAAGGCCAGCCTGTGCTACATAGTGTGACTCTGTTGGGGGGGGGGGAGGAAGGGATGGATGGAGGCGGGAAGGACACAGGAAATCACTACAGACTATGGATATGTGGGTGACAAATTCTACCAAAAGCAATCAAAGCTGACAGAAGAAGAAATAAAAATCTTTATAGTGTGGAATGTATTAAGAGAACTTAATTTGTTATTTAAAAACTTTCCCACAAATAGGAGGTTTCTGTCATTTGTAGTTTCCAGTCTTGGGAGGACTGATTCTCAAGAATGGACTTGACACTCCCTCGATGGGCCAGCTGTGGTCTTGACCCTACACATTGGTCCTGGGCACCCAAGGCCCGACATTGAAGCTCTCCGACTCCCAGGCACCAAGAGGTTTCCCATCATTTTTCTATTACTCTTCTAGAGCCCTAGTGTGCCTTCACCTGTGCCCTACAGAAAATGCGTAACATCTAATTGAACTTCTGAAATAATAAAAAAAAGAACATTAGGCTGGGTGTGGTGGTGCACACCTTCAATACCAGCACTTAGGAGGCAGAAGCAGGCAGATCTCTGTGAGATCAAGGCCAGCCTGGTATCACTTACAGTGAGTTCCAGGCCAGCTAAGGCTGCAGAGAGACACTGTCTCAAGAAGACAAACAACAACAGCTAAAGAAACCAAACACCTTCCCCCAAATAAACTATCAACAGAACAGAAAGTCTCGATCAGTTCCCCAACTTAAGGCAGCGTGGCATTGCAGAACAGTGAGGAATGGGTTTTTTCTTAATGAATGGACTGGGCTAATAGGTATCTGTATGAGACAAAAATCTCATTTATGGGTAGTGCTTGCTGTCTGCATCACTACCACAGTCACCTAGAAAATCAGTTCCAGATAAAGCATGGGTGTGATGTGGAAAGTACAGCAATTGAGCTTAAGGAAGAGAACAGTCAAGATCATCTTCATGATGTTGGGGCAGGCAATGATTTCCTAAACAGCACACAGAAAGGCTAGCCATAAAAAATGTGCAGTTTAGGGATATAGTATGATGACGGAGGGCCTGGGTTCAATGCCCAGTATCACAAGAAGAGGACATATTAGACTATACTAAGTTAAAAATATCACTATATAGACACCTTAAAGGTAATGAAAGGTGAGTGTAGCCAGAGAATAAAATCTATCTAATAGGGAAAAGACGTCCCAGCTACAAACAAGCAAAAGTAGGACTGGAGAGCTGGTTCAGGGGTTAAGAGCCCTGGCCACTCTTGCAGAGGACCCAGGTTCAGTTTTCAGCACCTGCATGGCAGCTCACAACCGTCCATAACTCCAGTTCCAGGGCATCTGACACCGCCTTCTGACCTCTGTGGACATTGTGGCCATCAGGCTAAATAAGATACCATTACACACACAGCAGAGGTGATGCAGCTAGAAATACCAAATGTGTGAGGGCCTGGGGCAGAGCTGCCAGCCCAGGCCACAGGCTCCACTGTCCATGCTGCTCACCAGCTGTGTTATTGATCCTCACTTTCACCTTGACAGGGTTTAGAACCACCTGGGAGATACCTCTCTGGATGTGTCTAGTGAAGTTTAACTGAAGCGGGAAGACCCGCCCTAACTGTGGGTAGCACCATCCCATGGTCTGAGGAAAAAGCGAGGAAGCTGTTGGGGCAGCAGCATTTCCCTTGGCTCCCAGGCTGCCGGAGCATTTCAGCTGCCACGCCTGCCCTGCGGCGGTGGACGGCTTCCCCTCAAACTATGAGCCCAGATAAACCCTTCCTTCAGTTGCTCTATTCACAGTAGTGAGAAAGTAACTGATGCAGGAACACTGGAAGACAGCCGTGTCCTCGTGTGGGAACACTAGGCGGAAGCACACATGCATACTCTCCAAAAGAGGGTGTGCAATGGTGGGGCAGCAGCAGGTCCCGTAAGTACAACACACCAGTAAGTGACTCTTACAATCCTCTGCCTCTTCCTGGATGTTCCCTGAGCCTTGGTGTGCGTGCGTGCGTGATATAGATGTCCCGTTTGTGGCTGAACACTCCATAGACACTCTGCACTTTGACAAAGTTGTGAGTCTCTGTATTAATCACCATCCCCTGCACAAGCTTCTCTCATGAGGACTGAGAGCTCTATTCATCTGGAGAGAACTGTTCAAAAGGGAGTTTGATACTATGTTGCAGTAAAAATTCCTTCTGGGAGGCATAAACATTGTCTGCCTCCTCCTCCCTTGGTCCCTACTATAAACCAAGGTACGATTTTACTCAACTGCAGACTGTCAAACCAGTGAGTTTATTGGGCTTACTTATAGGGCAGTGGGTGTGGATGCTCTGCTCCAAAGGCCACACTGGAAAGTCTTCATTCAAGCGTGGATGGTGACTTCCCCACAGCCTCATAGAATGGCGAGAGCCTCCCCTCTACTTCCTCAGTTTATATACCCTTAGCCCCTTGTGCAACTAGAGCCAACTGGTTGGTTGGGAGTGTGGCTGACTCTCCCTGCCCCTCCTTTCTTGCAGAGTGTAACAGTCAACAAGCTTCACTGTGATGATCCTAGGCAGGCGGGTGCAATCAAGCTTGGGAAAGAGGCATCTGTCTGGTCTGCCTGTTGGAGGACAGTCCTGTGCAACATATGTCCGCTTAGCAGAAGAACAGTAGTAAATTCACCCCTGGGGCCTGTGATCTTCCTGGCCACAGTTTCTGGCCGGATTTACCACATCAGGCATGAGTGTCCTCCTGCAGAGCAGGCCTTAAGTCCAATCAGAGCCAACTGGTTAGTTACGCCCGTAACATTCATGCTACTGCTGCACCCATGGACATGCCATGCCAGTCTGGTGGTTGGTATAATTCACAAGGTACGAAGCTGAGTACAGCTGTTGATGACTTTTCTCCCTCAGAAGCCTATATAGCACCTTCTGGTACTTTGAAAGCTAGCCAGCAAGGAGGAAACTTTCAGTTCAGTTCCAACTTGATTTCTCCATGTCTTATGACTAAAGTATGTGGTGTCTTCAGCAATATTGGGTCTTACCATCAGATTCTGGTAGGCAACCAAGAGCGATAGCAATAACTGGTGTTATTTTGGGGGTCTCCCTGGCCAACTGCTTGAGGAGAGGTACCCTGAACCTAGCACTGGGCTTTTTATTTGAGCCTTACAGTTCTGGGAAGTGGGTGCTCCTGCCTACCCATGGCTTCACGCACATCCTGGGCTTTTCCCAGCAGAGAGCAATGTGCAGTTGCCTTTAGACCCTGTCTCAGGCTTAGCCAGGTCACTGGCACAAAATTGGCTGTATGTTCATGTCTCAGCTTCAATGTCCGGTCCTCCAGGAAGCCATCCCAGACTAAGCCAGGTGCTCTGCTGCTCCCTCCAAAGTGACTTCCATTCTCGGAGTCGTCATCACTGCAGGCTACTCATTGTGTGTACAAATGCTTATAACCTGTCTCATCCAACTGGAAGGGACCCCAGAAGGCCTGGACCATTGTCCTGCCATTTTCCTGCTATACCCTTGGCACCCAGAGCCTGGCAGGCGCCTGACTGGTTCTTCATTTAAAAAAAAAAAAAACAAAAAGCAAAACAGAAAAATCCCCCAAAAAACAGAAAAGAAGGAATGTAAGTTCCTATGTGAACAAAGATGCACATTGCTGGGACTGGAGAGATGGCTTAGGGGTTAAGAGCACTGACTGCTCTTGCAGAGGACCGGGGTTCGATTCCCAGCACCCACATAGCAGCTACAAACCATCCTTAACTCCAGTTCCAGGGGAATCTGAAGCCCTCTTCTGACCTCCGCAGGACTGCACAACACAGGTGCACTCACATACCTGCAGGCAATACACTCGTACACGTAAAATGAAAATTAAAAAATAAAATTTAAAAAGGATGTACATTGCTTTCACTCCTTTTATTTATTATTTTTATTTTATGGCCAGGGCCTCATGTATACTAGGCAAGCACTTTACTATTGAGCTACATTCCCAGCCCAATCACTTTACTGTTACCAATGAGAGATTCCAAAATCTCATTTTTTAAGGAAATCATCCTAGAATCACAGCTGGCTACATTTCCGCCCCTGTGGCAAGGAGGAACCCTGGAGACCACATCTCCTTTTGAACTGGAGAATATGGTGGGTGCTTTAGTGCAGGTACAGGCGTAAGAGAATTGCCTCTGCTGTTGGAGGACGCTAGTGTGGCTTTCAAGACCCTCACACTGGTTTCGGTCTTGATCTTGCAGGGATTTGCTGCAGGCGCTAACTGAGGAGGAACTGCACACGCTGGAGCGGAGCCTCTGCGTCTCCCAGGATGTGGAGCTCCCCATCCGAGCAGACACCCAGGCCCCCAGTGCCCTGGCGCCTACCTTTTCTTCTGTATCTCTTCCCCCTGAGGAGCCACCTTCAGCCAAGGCCCAGAACTCAGAGACAGAACTGGCCTGCTCCATGCAGTATGATGATCAGGAGCTGGAGGAGCTCAGCCGCATGGTGCACAGGGCAGGGGACGAAATGTCATCTCTGCTCTCACCACCCAGTGCCTGCCAGTCCCCAGCACACAGGCCAGGGGCAGAGGGCAGCCCCCGAGGGGAGGCCTCTCTAGGCAGGGCCCAGCTGAAGTCAGGCAGTGAGGAGGAGGAGCGTGTATTCTTCATGGATGATGTGGAGACAGCAGAGGCCCCCACCAGGCCCGATTCCCCAAGGGATGCATTTGGATGGACAAGCAGCACACAGAGTAATATTCAGGAGAGAGGACAGGATGGAGGCCAGAGTGGGGAGGCACGGATCAGTTCCCCGGCCCTGGGAAGGGAGGAGGATTGCAGCAACAACAACATTGAAGACAAGATGAAGCTGGCCAGCCTCCCAGGCTCCACTTCCTGTAGCTGCCTAGAATCACAGCTGTACCTGGACGGCTGGGAGGTGAATGCTGATGATGCTGAGACAGCTGAGATGATTGCCCACCGCACAGGGGGCATGAAGCTTTCAGCCACAGTCATCTTCAATCCCAAGTCGCCCACCTCCCTGGACTCTGCTGTGGCCACCCAAGAAGCCCCAGGCCATGGCATTTCCCCACTGGAACCCAGGGCTGCAGGGACCGGGGACAGTTCACACAAACTCGGTGCTGTGGCCACCAACTGCCTCCTGCACTCCTGCGTGTGCTGTGGGAGCTGCGGGGACAGCAGGGAGGACACAGTGGAGCATCTGCGGGAGAAGTGTGGCCCAGGAAGTGTCATCAGTGCCTCTTACCCTGCCACAGGTTTAGCTAAGGCCGGCAACAAGGGGCCTGAGAGACTAGACGAGGCCTGGCCTCCCGCTGATGCCACCCTGCCTGCAGAAGACACCTCCAACAGGCAGGAGCCCAAGGCCCCTGCTTCCAACAAGTGCCTGGCACACACCTCAGGGCCTCAGATGGACACCACAAACAGGTCACAAGGAGAGGGCGAGGTCACAGGCCAGCAGGAGCTCGAGGCCAGAGAGCAGGACCCTAAGAAGAAGTCTGTGGCCAGGGAGGACAGTCAGCAGGGAGACATGGCCCAGACAGAACCTCAGGTCCTGTCAGGCTCCAGGTAAGAGCTGGTTCTGCTCTAGGGACCAGACTCATCCTGTCTTTACATTTGGGACATGTCATGCTGGTTGATTCTCAAAACACTGAGATGTTTCCCACTGGGGTTTCTTGGCCACTAGAAGTGCTGGACGCAGGCCAGGTGTGGGTTGGTGAGGAGGAGTAGCAGGGCTGGCCCAGGGGGCACCTGCCCATCCTGCGTTAAGCTGTCAGCAAAGGATCCCTAGGGTCTTGGCATGTGTTTCAGATGATGTAAGCACAGGGCTGACTCCTTTCACCTTGGTGGTGCATTCCAAGCCTGGTATGGCCCATGATGGACTGGCCACTGGTGAGTGGCTGGGTGCCACGCCTCACCTGTGGCTGTGAGTTGGGGCTGAGCACACTGTTCACGCTCTTCATTCACCTCCGTGTGTTCTGGGCTCACATGGAGCTGAGAGGTGCACAGAACCCCAGCTGTGAGTTTGAAGCCAAGGTGTGCTCTACACACAACCCTTGGGCAAATTCTTGGGTGTGTCCACAGGACCCCTGCCCTTCCTCAGCTCTGTGCTCTTGCTGTGGCACTCCCTGCCCAGGGGCTCTCTCCTCCCTGCTGTGGGTCTGCCCTCCCTCCCTCTAGAGGCCCCTCCCCAGAGATCCCTTTCCCATTCTGGTCAGGTGATGACAGGGAAGGGTGGGGCTCTGGGTTCCAGATGTGGACATATTTCTTAAGAGCTGAGGCTGCTCTCTTTCCTTGTCTCCTGGACAGGGCAGATTTGGACAAGCGTCACTGATGTCGATGCCGTGGCCTGTTTTGTCTTTCATGTTGGGGACGGGGAACAAAGGAGTGGGCCCAGCCTTGGTGGTTTCTACATGGTTGTAGTGACTGACCTAGGCAGGCAGTGGAAGGGTCTCCACCTGGAGGCCCTGGAATCCAGCACAGTACCCAACTGTACTGTAACCTGCGTTACAGGCTGCGGACAAGGCAGGCGGCTGGGTCTGCATGGGAGGAGGGTATCCTCACACGGGCTCGGGTTTCTTGGGCCCAGGACAGATGTCTCCTTCTTTCTGTGCCTCATCTTCCCCTGGGCAGCAAATGACCACAGTCTTCCCAGGCAGTATGTGGGGAGGGCCAGAAGCTGGCCTTGTGTCTGTCAGAACTCAGACGCCCCTGCTGCCCACTGTACAACCCTCTGCTCTGCTGTTGCCTGGGGGGCTAGGCTGTGACTCGTGTGGTCAGTAGGAGCCACTCTGGCTAAAGCCCTCATCCCACCTACTTCCCAGCCCCTGGCAATCTCTAATCTGCTTTTCCTCTGTGAATCTGATACTTCTCAACTTTGGGAATGAATCTTACCATGTGGGCCCCTCTGTGTTCCTAGTCTTTCACTGAGCAGTGTTTCCAGGGTCATCCATGCTGTGGTAAAAGCAGCACTTGGTCCCCATGTGCAGCTGAATGATTGGCATGGTGCAGAGAGGCCATGCTGTGTCTCTCTCATGGATGCATACGGTGCTTCTGGGATGCCGTGGCTAGGGCCGCTGTGAACACTCATTTCCAGTTTTCTGTGGATGTTTTCAGTGTTTGGGGCCTCAGAGAGTGGTATAGGAAGGTCACAGGCAACTGTAAGTGTAACTTGTTGAAGAACTGTCAAACTGCTTTCCACAGTGGCTGCAGTTACACACATCCTACCAGTGGTATGTATGTGAGGGGTCCGTCCAGTTTCTCCATATCGTTGACACTTGCTATTGTCCAAGAATTTTTAGCAGTTTTATTTTGACCTTAGCGCGTAACCCACTGATATAAAGTCAACCAACTGCTTTAATCATTTGAAGTGGGAAATGTACACTGTAATTTCAGTCCTTGGCAAGCTGAGGCAGGAGAGAGGCAAGATGTCAGCCTGAGCTACAGATGAGACCTCATCTCAATACAGAAACCAACCAAACAACAAAATAAACAAAGTTACTTGAATTTGCTCCATTCTTTGAAACTATACAGTCAGTTTTACTCACAGCAAGTTATCTTGTTTAACTCTGCATTAGATACATAGAAGATGCCCTCCAGATTTAACTCAGTTTTACAATTACATTCAATATTATAATTTGCATATTATAATATTAGAGTTTGCATTCTTTCTAGACAAATCTAAAAACTCAGAAGTATGGACAGAAGTCTGTCTGAAGGGACTTTGCTCTCTCTATAGTTTATTCCTCATTTCTTAGAAATGTGACTGAAGGCCCAGAGGTGGATGTTCCAGGAGGCCCAAGGCAGATGGCCTTGAGCCCCTTTTCCCCACCTTGCCTCCTGATTGCTAGCCCACGACCTCAGCAGAGCACTTTGGAGATGCCTTCACCTTTCCTTTACAGAGAAGTAGAGCCCAGGCCACTGTGCGTTCAGTCAGGCCCCGGTGCCGGCCTCGGGCTGTTCTGTGCTGCAGATGGTGCTGCTGTGGATGACCTGTGAAGGTGTCGCTCCTGTTTCCATAAGGCCTTTCTCAGAGGCAGCCCCAGCCTTGTAGCATGTTGATGGAATGAATTCATTTCCCAAAGGCTTTCTCCTGCGAGACCTTGGTGAGTGCATTATTTTTCTACAAGATGACGTACTCCTGAAAATTCTTTGTCGGGAGAGATGATTTTTATTTTTTATTTTGACCTACCCTGTTTGCTGTTTGTCCAGGTGATAGCCAGAGAACACCAACCCCGTATGGAAGCTTCTCCACCCTGGGAAGGGCCTTTCACAACAGGCCTCCGCTTTCTAGGCCCTGTCCAGCTCAGCACGCACTCAAAGCTCAGTTGAGAAAAGGAGAGAAATTTCACCTCGTGGCTCAAAAGGCCTCCCATCTTCCAGGAAGCCTTTCTAGAAGATGCAGAGGGTCTGAAGAGGAGGCACTCAGCCAGGTGGTCAGGAGCCTGAGCGTTGCAGAACCTTGGACAGTGGTGTGTGGTCCCAACACTGCTTGAGAGCTGAAAGAGGCCAGCTCACAGCCAGCTGTCACTCCTGCCCCAGCACTGGCAGAGTCTGAACAGGAGCACCTGTTCCTGTGTGTCATGAGCACACTCCTTGGGGACAAGCCAGGTCCTCGAACTCACCCAGGAACCAATGGATATGGTCGGTCCTCGGGCCTGCAGGTGATTCAGCAGTGTGTTTCCAAACAGACACTAGAGGCCAACCCCAGTCGGGCAGAGTATTTGCTGAAATGTGGAGTGGGACATCACGAGTCCTGACTGGTGTGATAGCATTCCCATGAAGCTTTCTGTTGCAGCCTTATGCACAGGGAATTCTGAACTGGGAGACACACTGAGAGACTGGTGCTTGCCTCACCTCAATGTCCCTGAAAGGGACCAATCACCTCCTCCCTCCTCAAGTAGCAGGATCCATTCTACTGTTGCCCTGGTTTGAGCATGGGACTCACCTATCATCTGGCAGGTGCCTCTCTGGCTCCTGTGATGTGTGGTGTGGAGGGTGGGATGGTCAACAGGCAGGCCTGTACTCACAGGCCTTGGTCCCATGGAAATCCCACCTTTCCCTGCTACAAATGAAGGGAAGAAAAGTAAAATATGTGCTGGCAAGGCCAGAGTATATGTTGCTGGTCAGGTGGAAGATGACCTTCCGGGGAGGCCAGGGCTGCTTCTGCCAGGAAACAAGCACAGCCTGGAGGCAGTTGGGCCTGAGGCTGAGAATGAGGCCTCACGGGGAAGCCCCTCCCCAGGGGGTCTTTTAGCCCTGGCGGTTTCCACCAGCACCATTACGCAGGGTGGGGGGACCTTGTCCTTGGTCAGTACTGATGCAGTGACCCTGCTGAGTGAATGTTCTGGAACCTGTGTCCATTAGCTCTTTGATTTCCATTGGGTGCTCTCCTTTTTCAGCAGTCACAGATGAAGTTGTGTGTGTTTTTTTTAAGTTGGCGTTTTTAGAAAGCTTGTTTTCTCCCACTTACCCCCATTGTCCCAAGTCAGACACTCTTTGGTTTTGATGCCAGCTCCACTGGTTCCTTGTCAGAGGACGAAACAGCTCGAGCCTGTCTTCCCTAGATGTCTAGATGTGCAGAAGCGTCTGCTGTAAACATGACATGGATTCCTGTCCGTTGTAGAAACTTTAGAAAACATTAAAAATTTCCCACATCTTATGAATTGTTTGAATTGTTTTTACATTAATAGTGATGTTATGATCATTTCTCCACAAAGTTCTTTAAAAACATAAATTTGGGGGTCTGGAGAGATAGCTTAGTGGTTAAGAGCACTGGCTGCTCTTGCAGATGACCTGATTGATTCCCAGCATCCACATGGTGGCTAACAATCACCCATACCTCCAGTTCCAGGGGATCTGATACCCCTTCTGATCCCTGCAGGCATTGTGTGACATGGGTGTGCTAGGCAATACACTCATACACATAAAATGAAAATAATGAATAAAATACATTATAAACATAACTTTGAAGATGGGCATGGTGGCACAAGCCTTTAATACCAGCACTTGAGAGGTGGAGGCAGAAGCAGGCAGATCTCTGTGAGTTCAAGGCCAGCCTAGTCTAACATAGTGAGTCCCAGGCTAGCTGGAGCTACAGGGAGACCCTGTCCACTCCCCCCCCCCCAAAAAAAAACTACCCACCAAAATAACAAAAAAACTATAACTTTGAATGCTACTGTATCACAGGATATATCAAAATTTATTTCATATTTTCCATTTCTGTATTAAATTATCCTTATGCAGTTCCCTTTGGTTTGTTCCTTAGAGTCAAGCCCAGGGTCTAGAGTCAGCACTGGGAAGGTCACAGTCTTCTCAGGAAAGCACTCACACATACACAACACATTCCACAGAGTGCCCAACCTCACCAGGACACCCACTGCTTCCTAACCTGGAGGGAGAGCGTGGCACACTGGTGGCTGCGTGCTCTCCTTTGGTACCTGTGCATTTCCTGGCCTGCACTTGCCTTGGCCTTTGCCTCCTTCCGGTTGGTTTTCTTTTTTTCCTCACTGTTCCACAGCATCCTTCTCTCTGGTTGTGGCGACACCTTCTTCTGAAGTTGCTGCTGT